AGGCCTTCTTAGAGAATGTCCAGTTCAATTAACAGTAAAATAGCTCTAATAAGCCAAAATGTGATTTGTGTACTATACAGCTTCTATCATGATTCTGATTGAGACTGATATTTTAAAATGGTTAGAAAATGCACATTCTAATAATTTATTTATTTTGATTCTTGAGGATTTATACCAATTAGTAAAATATAAAGTGTATTACTCTTGACCCATGTACAGTAGCTTTTATTATCTGTAAAGTTGATATTACATCCTTGACTTTTAACAGAAGTTGGTGAAAGTCATGGTCAAATGGATTATTGCTGCTTGATTTTTTAAATTAATGAAAGAGGTAGTCATATTGTTCAAGATGGTCAAAAACCTATGCACTTAATTTATGTTAGATTTCAGAACTAAGAAAAAACTTTTCTTGATAAAATTATATTCCTTCTCTCTTAATAATTGGCAGTCTCTAATGTTTCATGTTTCCTTCTGGTTTAAGCAGCTCAGAAACTCAATCATTTATGCTATAGATTGCAAGCACAGTCACTCTTCTTTATCTCTTTCTGTGTTCCATATTAACAGCTTTGATCATGTACTCTTTTACTTTTGTTTCAGTGTTTTTATTTTTTTATTTTTTTTAATTTTTTATTGTTATGTTAATCACCATACATTACATCATTAGTTTTTGATGTAGTGTGTTTCAGTGTTTTTAATTTACTAAGATTCTTCCCTAGTTCTGTGAAAAATACTGTTGGTGTTTTGATAGGGATTGCATTGAATCTGTGGATTAGGCACTTTGTGTAGTATAGATATTTTAACAATATTAATTTTTCCAATTCATGAGCAAGGTATATCATTTCATTTGTGTTGTCTTCACTTTCTTTTGTCAGTGTCATACAATTTTCAGAGAATAGGTCTTTTAGTTCCTTGGTTAAATCTATTCCTAATATTTTATTGTTTTTGATACAATTTTAAATGGGATTGTTTTCTTAATTTCTCCTTCTGCTATTTTATTATTAATATATAGATATATAACAGATTTCTATGTATTATTTTATATCCTGCAACTTTACTGACTTCATTTATTAGTTATAATAATTTTTTGGTAGAGTCTTTAGGGTTTTCTATATATAGTATTATGTCAACTGCAAATAGTGATAGTTTTACTTCTTCTTTAACCAATTTGAATACTTTTTATTATTTTTTTTGTTGTCTGATTGCTGCAGCTAGGACTCTCAATACTATGTTGAATAAAAGTGGTGAAAGTGGACATCCTTGTCTTGTTCCTGATATAAAGGAAAGATTTAAATTTTTCACCATTGAGTATGATGTTAGCTATTGGTTTGTCATGTATTTATTATTATGTTGAGGTATGTTCCCTCTAAACCTATTTTGTTGAGAGTTTTTAATCATGAACAGATGTTGGATTTTGTCAGATTTTTTTTCTGCATCTGTTGAGATGATCAAATAGTTTTTATCCTTCATTTTGTGAATGTCATGTATCATGTTGACTGATTTGTGGATATTAAACCAGTATATGTAGAGAACTTTAAATACAATTGTAATCTATAGTTAATTAACATTATTTCTAAAAACAAGGCTTAAAGAAAATCACTAGATAATAAAGATGAACAAAGGGTACAAAGATGCATGTTAAGTATGTTTATAATAGTAACAAAATAGCAATAAGAAAATATGCTACAAGAGGACAAGGATTGTTTGTTTTGTACACTGGGGCATCTCAATGCCTAGAACAGTGCTTAAAACAAAGTAGGTACTCAGTAAATGTTTATGGAAAGCATGAATACATAGTTAACATATAATGGGAAAACAATACACAAATTTTACAGTAATAGAATAGTTGTTAAAATATGTGAGTGCAAGGATAAATTGTAAATTCAGTTTTTAATTTTAAAAAATTGGACTTTTTTTAGTGGCTCAGAAAGATCTTAGTAGGCTGACTCTACCAACATAACAACTTTAATGCCTGGACCTAAAAAGGAATACACCAAAAAGTCACAATGCATATCTTCGGGTTTGTGGATTCAGGTTATTTTAATTTTACTTTTTGTAATTTAAAAATGCTTCTACAAAAAAACTATATTTTTTTCATAGAAAAAGAAAGATAAAATAGTACCTTTGTGTTTATTTTTAGAAAGAATCAGTTTGGGCTGCTACCTGGACTTTTTGTTAGGATCTTGGCCACTAAACAGTACTCTCACAACGTAGAGCCAGAGCTGCTCTGTCCCACTGATTCAGTCCAACTCAGTTATTTGCAGAAATACTAAATTTTTCTTTATGACTATAACTCTATAAATTTTAAAGTCTATTTATTTCTGTCCTGGTCTCAGACCTTTTGTAATTATTTGAATTCTCCAACTTTTGTCTTAGCTCCCCTCCATCACTGGAAAGCAGACTGATGCTACTTCCTTGATTCTGAGCTTATATCTATTTATATTTAGTATTTACTCCTCTTTTCTCTTTAAATGTGCTTTTCAGGGCACATAGAATCCTTACATTGCTCTTCAGTTCTTTGTCCTAGCATTGGAGTCTCTTCCAGTAGAATAGCTCTTTGCTGCCACCTTCTGGTTTTTGGCTGCTAAAGCCAGGCAGCAGGTCAAAGGTGACCATTTTAGTGTGGGCTCTTCCCAGCATCAGAGAATGCTCCCCCTTTTCTTTGGCTTCTTTCGAACTCTTCAAAGTGATCTTTTGATATATTTTATTCCCCAAAACCGGAATTAACTAGTTGTTACAGAGACTTTATGTCCCCAAAGCCAAAATTTTTTACTAAATTTTTACAGAGAAAGCTTGTTGACCTCTGCTCTAAAGAATATAAAAATAGCCACGTATAGGGGGCAGCCACAGCCTTTACGGATGAAGAAAGTACCCAAAGAAGTAATAAGTATGGAAGAGGCTGCCTTCCCCCAAAGCAGAGTAAGGTCTTACTGGAGAGAGTGTGGCTGTGTCTCAGTGGATGACCATAAGCAGCCGCTTGCCAGATGCCAGAGAATTTGATGGAGGTTAAATGGAGTTTGAATGGAGTTTCTGGGTAGAGAACTTGGCTGGAGGGCAAGCACCATTGGTTTTCCAGATACCAGCTGGCAGCAATTCTGCAGAAAGAAGAAAATAACTGGAATCAGAACAAGGATGTGAAGTGCTTTGTTGCAGCCTTGTAAGCCCCTCCACTGCCCTCTATTGACAAAGCCTAACTTAACTCCAGCTGGCAAAAGAAAACTGTATACATATACAGCTCCAGTATCTCAAATTAGAGTTAAAAGAATGGATTTAGAACTAAGAGGCAATAATTAGATAACTGGCACAAATATGTAGTTCACATGTGAATTTCTCTAATTCAGTTGATTTCTATATGTAACTTAGCACCATGCATTGCATTTATCTCATAACTTTTGAGTCTCCTTTCATCTTAGAGTCTCCTACATTCAAAAGAAAAATTGTCTTTTATTACACTGACATTTGTTGAAGAATCTAGGCCTGTTACTTTGCGGAACATCTCTCACTATGGATTTATTTTTTGTTTGCTCATGATTAGATTCAGGTTAAACACTTTGGCAGGAATATTACATAGTTATAATATTGTGTCAGTGAAATATCACAAAGCACATGGTATGAGTTTTTCTCATTACTAGTGAGAGTAAGTTTGATCATTTGGGTAAAGTTATGACCAAAGGATGTATTCATTTTCCTGTTGTAATTAATAAGTACTCAATTGAGCAATATTTTAAGAATGCAATTGTCTTTTTTTCCAAAAAAAAAAATGCACTTCAATTTAGCATCTATTGGTAATTCTTGGTTGAATCCATTATTGTAATAGTTGTGAAATGGCAATTATTGTGGGCTTTCATTCCCTCTACAATGAACTGGCAGTGAGAACCGAAAAGTCTGGCACAAGCTGGATTGCAGGCCATATTCGTAAAAGTGGCAGTCTTCTTCCAGTTCTGATTCAGGCACTTATCTCTGCATTTCCTACCACTTCACCTGTTTACCCAAGTCTCAGAAAAACATCTTGTAGGCCTGGTTTCATTCTCCATCCTTAACATGCTGTTTATAAATAAGAATATGTGTGATTGTGATATTTTAATGGATCTTGGGTTTCTCATTATATAAAGAGATTTTTTTAAAAACACATTTTTGAGTTTGAAAGAACTTAAAACTTTTAGTTTAATTACCCAACGTAGGGACCAAAAGCAGTTTGTTTGTTATTTGTTAATGCATTTATTCAACAAATTATTTATTTAGGAAATGTTTTTACAACTACTATATAACTCTGTCATTCTCCAGCCTCTCTTCTTGAACATTTTCAATAATAGTTCAATTGGTATTTTACCAAGAAGACCACACTCCGTCTCATGTTGTCTACAGTATTATGTATCCATTTAATCCTGATACTGTTTTTAGCAGCTACATAATTCATATTGCATAATTAAAAGGCAGTATCTCTGATTGTGTGGAATGTCAAGTATAACTATGGAGAGTTTAAATCTATCCACATATTTTTTGCCCACTAACTTTCAAGGAATAATTTTTTTTAAAGAAAAAAGAAAAAAATTTATTCTAGTTAAATGGAGAACCTGATCACATTTTATAAACTTCAAACTTGAATTGTGTCTATCTTGTTTTCAAAAGTGAATGTGTGCCTTCTGTAAAGTAATATTAAAAACAAACTGATAGTTTTTAAAAAGAGGAATTGAAGACTGGTTATTGGTTACTTTGATATTTTAGCTCGGGGTTATAAAGTACAAACTGAACTGAACTGAAATTCTGTATTCTTGTTCTCGGGATTGTATCAGTAGTAAGTTTGCTTCAAATACCATCAGGAGTTTTGTTTGTTTGGTTGGTTGGTTGGTTTTGGTTTTTTTATAATACTCAATTTTTAATGAATATTTTACTCTTTATTGTAATATAAGTAAAATGTATCTTGTGTTAGCAATTGTCCTTAATAATGTTTTCTGATATTCTATAAATAAAACCTCCTTTTCTAAAAATTTGATAATTTATAGGGTAGAGAAGAATTCTTGAAAAAACTCACACGAGGTGAAGTGGCTAATGGAATGATGATTCAGGTAATCCTAATTTGGTTTCAATATTTTATTCTTCCTTTAATTTGCATTTTACTTAGCATTTTAAATTTGCCTGTAATGAGGCATCTTTTCCCTACTTGGTTTGCAAGCCAGCAGTTTTCTCTCCTTCGCTGATGACAGTTGCCCTCTGTGTACGACTAGCAGTATCTGGTCATGCATAAAGAAACTGACCTCCCATACACATATCTCATTTTGTGGCTTAATGGGAATTTCTGCCAGTCTAGTAAAAGGGCAGTGAGATCTTACTCCTAAGTGTCTCTTTAGTTTGCTTTGTGATGATGTTATGTTTTCTTTACTTTTAGTGCCTTTCAATGGAATTTCTTTATTTAACACTGAAAGAAAAATGTGCTATGATATTTCTATATAAAGATTTTGAAATTAAATGATTATAGCTAGCAAAATCAATTTTAATATTTTTTATCTTTATCTACCACCTGAATATCCTTTGGAACCAGGGTTGGATGTTTTCATCCTTGGCATGTTTCTAGAATGCCTCCCTTCAGAAATACATAAATACTTAAAATTATAAAAATAAAATCAAGAGGCAAAACAGTCCGAAACAGTGTTGTTTTATACACTTATTTGAGATTATCTGGACCTCTGGTCTTCTTTTAAATAAACACAAATTGTGATTTCTTCTGTTAAGAAATTTGGCATTTTCAAACATATAAAAGCAGTGTTTCTTTACTTCTATATGCCGAAAATGCCAAATTTTCTGATTTATTTTTCTATGAGTATATATGTTCAATAATCCCATAATCTCCTAGCCCTTTCTGCTTAATATTTTGTCATTAACTTCTTGTTCATTGGTTTTATTGGATCTTAGATTACAGGAATTACATATATTTCAATATTTGTTGTTAGTGTGCTTTTTAACCTTATTATCTTCCAATACTTACTTAAGAATGTTTGATTTTCTGGGTGATGGACATTGGGGAGGGTATGTACTATGGTAAGTGCTGTGAATTGTGTAAGACTGATGAATCACAGACCTGTACCCCTGAAACAAATAACACATTATATGTTAATAAGAAAATTTAAAAAAGAATGTTTTTATTGTCTATATTAAATTTTTCTCTCATTTTTTCTAATAATAACTATGCCTTGTATAAATATGCTATATTCATACCGGTTGCTTTTTATGGTGGCATAATTTTTTTTTAATTTTCAAATAACAACAAACATTACTTCCTGGCTCAGGATTGAGACTCAATAAATGTTTATTCTTTTTTAAGTTTCTAATTCCAGTTAGTTAACATACAGTGAAATATTAGTTTCAGGTGTACAATATAGTGATTCAGCAATTCCATACATCACCCTGTGCTCATTACAAGTGCACTCCTTAATCCCCATGTTTAGGTAATTAATAACTGAATGAATTATTTAAAATCTTTGCTGGCAGAAAAGACTGTATTCCATTCAAGAAGAACAGATACTTGAGAGGCAGGAACTTTTGGAAAAGAAAGCAATGTGTGCCCTAGCATTGGCAGAACTAGAGACACCTCTGCTTGAACTAGAAGAAGACGCTGTAAGAATCAGAACTATCCACAAAGAACATTCTGATGTAAGTATTTATAATTAATCCAGAAGCTAATTTCCAGGAATATTTAAGTCAAATCATGTATATGATTTTACATTATTACTTAAAATGTTATGATTTCACATAGTAAGACATAAAAGCATGAACAAAATACATATTTTATGACCACACAACTGATCTATAGTGAAACTATATATAGGCAAGACTACTAATGCTATTACCTGGAACCCTATACTCTATATTAGAGTGTACTTAGGAAAAGCAGTTTTCAAATAAATGAGTAGTGATTTATCTCATGTGATTGCCCACTATGTTAAATTTAATTCAAAGTCTTCACTGCTTGTTAATAAAATGCTAAGGCTGTGTTTGCTCAAATATAAAATATAATGCATCTTGGCATTTTTATGGCAAATATTTGATGTATGTAGAAGAAGTTAAGACACCTAGGATGAAAAATAAAGCAAATTTCGATAAAATATTTTCAAAACAACAAGTTTATGGCAGTAACTGATATTGCTAGCCCTTCCCAAAGAAAAATTTAGTAGAAAAATATGTATGCATCATGTCATTAGTCTTTTGGAAAAGTGGAGGGTGTGGTAAGAGTTATATATTCTTGTCCTTAGATGCAGGGAGGACATGCATATATTCATTTGGGCCATTTTGGCAACAGGATTTTTTTTTCTTTGTAAATGATGATGTAATTTTATATTCTTAGTCTTTAATAATTTTCAGTGTTTTTTTAATTTAAAAAACTTTATGATTTATAAAATGTTCCCATTATGAGTGTTTATTTTGATCTTCAAAGTCTCCCTATGAAGTAGCCAAGACAGAGTTTATCTGGATCATAGACTTAAGAAAACTTGGGCCTAAATGCATGAAGCAACTTGTACAAGGCCATAAAACATGGCAACAACAAATTCTGAGCATACTACTATACTCAGGGCTCTTAATTGCTTATCCTAGAGCTCATGTAATGAATATATAACCAGTACTAACACCTAGTGAGATAAATGATTTTAATAATGGCTCCTCCTTACATTAGTGATGGAAATTTATTAATTGCTTGAAAAGCCTCCGTATAATCATCTGAGTATAATGAATTCCTGAAAAGATTAATGACTTTTATTCCCCCTTATTTTATAATAGCCATTGTTTTCTCTCATCTTTTAGTTCAGTAATCATTTTTGTTTTATTATATTTTAATAGTTTATAAATTATAAGAACTATCAATTTAACACAAACTCTTGAAAACAATAAGTTTTTATGTACTTTTGGTAATGATTGCTGACAATTTGTATCGAGTTTTAATTTTGGTTAAGATATTTTAAATATCATGGTGAAAACTTACGATTTCTATGTGAGTTTCTTAGTTTTTGTTACTTAGCTAAATTGGTTAGATTTTGGTTTTCTCCAATAATTCAAATGGAATATTGGGATGTGGATATCATAGTATGTTTTTGTAATTCATGTTTGTTGGTCCTTTTCCTTTATACCAAAATATATATTGTTATTATTAAAATAGTCACTTGGGAACTATTTGGTCTAAACCAGGATAATTGGATTGCAAATGTTGCAATTCTTAATTTCTGAATGTCTTTAGATATTTAATGATATAACTGAGAGGAGAGACAATGTTAAAAGAAATGTGGAAAGAACTAAGCAAAAATTACAAAGAAGGGGGAAGAAAACCCGTGAGGCAATAACAGAAACTGAGGTAAGAAATTTAACATCAAAAATAATTATCAATTTACAACTTCTTTATGTCAATGAAAACTATTCAAGCAAATTTATTTTAGGTTGATGCCTCTCATTTCTAATTGGTTGCACTAAGTAGTTTCTATACACATACACACACACACACGCACGCACGCACACACACACACAGTCTCTGTATCTTCATTTTTTTCTCTTGCGGTGTTTTTCCCATTGAACTAGTGCATCCTCCTGTTAACCTCTCCTACAAAGTAGAGGTAGGGATTTGTATTGTACTAAAAATAGTACCATGTTTATACAGATGAGACCAATATACGGACTGAAACATCTGTTACTATCTGACATCTCAGTTTTACCCTCAAGCTGGTGTATGGGCAGCATGAACAAATGGTCATATATCAAAGGGCTTCAGGGCTTTTTCCAAATTAGAAATACTTGCTTCCTGAGAATCTTCTTCTCTAATATTTTGTCTTTAGAGAATCACTGGATATGGGGGTTGGAGATAGTCCATTGTCTTTAACTTCCTACCCTCTGGATATACTTTAAAGGTCGCACCAATTGGGTTTGTTGGTGGACAGCATGTTGGCTGTGAAACAGAGGTGTAATCATATCGTTTTTTAAAAGTTTGTATTAGGCCACAAAAGATTAAAAATTATCAAGGAAAATAGTAATACTAATAACAACAACAGATACTGATACTTTGCATGTTCTCTGTATACCAGGCATTATTTTAAGTGCTCAGACATATTAGCTCATTTCAACTTCATAATAACTCTGTGAAGATTGTGCTATTTTTATCCCCATTCTACAGCTGAAGAATCTAATGCCTTGTTTTTGAATTAACTTGTTCAGTTTCACACAGCTCATTAACGGTGGAGTTGAGATTCACTAAATCTGGCACTGGCATTAGACTCTGTGCTCTTAACCATTCTGTTATTCTGGTCAGATCCTACAGGTTACTTTTGTTGAATACAATGAAGCAAAATCAGAACTTAGTAACAAAAAAAATAGAGCAAAAAGAAAACAGATTACTGGAAATATTTTTTAAATTACATTTTTTCATTATTTGTTCTGTGTTAAGGAATATGTAGAAGCACAAATTATTTATAAATTATTGATGATAAACTATACAGCAAAATTTATGGAACAGGCCAAGGTAATACGTTAGTGTTACCAATAAATCATTTTGGTAAGAAAAATGTAAAGCATTTAGCATATCTGTAAGGACAAAAAGAAGATAAAAACAGCCATGGGAAAAATTAAAAGAGACATAATTATATATAGTAGTACAAGAAAGAATCCTATTTTGCATAGAACTTTGTTTTAAAATTTAGATGAAGTATACAATTTATATACAAATTATTATACTATTTATTAAAATACAAATAATGAAAACTGGGTAAAGAGGGAAAATCACAACAAGAGTAGAATAAAAATTATAGAATAAATGTAATTTGTCTATACCACTAACCACAAGAACAGGCACAGGGGTGCCTGGGTGGCTCAGTCAGTTAAGCCTCCGATTCTTGATTTCAGCTCAGGTCATGATCTCAGGGTCATGAGATTGAGCCCCACATTGGGCTCCATGCCCAGCGTGGAACCTACTTGAGATTCTCTTTCTCCCTCTCCCTCTGCCCCTCTCCCAGCTTGCATGTGTGCGTTCTCTCTCTCTCTCTCTAAAAGAAAAAAAAAATTAATTAAAAAAAAAAAAAGAACAAGCCCAGATGCTTTATAGGCCTCCTTACAAAGACCAGATACAGACCATAAGAAAGTATGGAAAGCTTCTAAATTTATTCTGTAATAATATAATTCTGAAATTATAACTGAAAAATACTAGCTTGAAAAAGAAATCTTTAGGTGACCTCACTTATGAACACAGATGACAAACTCTTAAATATATCAGTGAATTGAGTTTTTAAAATATGATTAAAAGGCATGTATTATGCAAAGTAGGATTCCTTTGAAGAATGTGAAGATGAGTCAACATAAACAAATGTACAGCTGACACTGGAACAATGCAGGGTTTAGGCAGTACCAGCCTCCACGTAGTCAAAAATCCACGTGTAACTTTTGACTCCCCCAAAACTTAACTACTAATAGCCTACTGTTTACTGGAAGCTTTACTGATTACAAATAGTTGATTAACAAATATTTTATATGCTATAGATATTATATACTATATCCTTATATTAAAGGAAGCTAAACAAAAGAAAATGTAATTAGAAAAATCAAAAGGAAGAAAAAATACATTTACAGTGGTGTGCTGTTAAAAATCTGCCTGTAAGAGGAACTGCACAGTTCCAACCTGTGTTGTTCAAGGATCAGCTGTACTAATATAATTCAGTACATTTACAGAAATGAAAGACAATTAACCTAAAATATTTAATAAAACACTATAGCCACTAATGATTTTCAAAAAGACTTTTAACTATCTAGAGATAGAATGAAAACATCCTTACCTTGATAATGTGTCTACCAGTACTTTCCAGCAAACGTTATACTTAATGGCAAAAACATTAAAATTATTTCCATTAAAATCAGGAACAAAAACATTCAGACAAGCTCCTACTACTCAGCATACTACTGTTATTGATAACAAATTACTGTAACACATGTCACAAAGGTAAAACGTATGTGTTGAACATGGCAATGGAAAACCACCCGGTTACTCATGTCCCACATTTGAATACTAGTTTCAAAAAATATTAACTAAAAATTGCCAAAGGTGGTATGTCTAATAAATATAACAAATTTCAATGAAGAATATGGCTGAACACTTTCTTTGTGTGTGTGCTCATTATTGTAGAAGGTACTAGGAGTTGAAGGGATAGAAAAGAAGGATTAATTTTCTTTTATTTGTCCTTCAGATAAGTTTGTCTTTTCAATTACTATTAAGCACTTGAGATATATTAAACATTGTTAGAATTTGCTGGAATTGGGGAAGTAAAAGGAGAACTTTTTCACTCAAGAAGCACATTATCTTGTCGGGGAGCAGGCAAGGACACAGAGCATTAATACACTGTGAGCAAAGCCATGATGGCAGTATAATGAGGTGGAAGAGTGTCATGGAGGAGGAAACCTGACAGAACTGAGGGTGTTGGGGTAGGTTTTTCAGAGGAGGTTATATCTAAAAATGAGAATTACTAATGGAGTAAATGAAGGTTAAATACTTACATTGCCATGATGTTGTGGAGAATAGAGATGATACACAAAAAGCCTTAAAAAATTATTGTCACTGAAGGTACTTATCATCATCATCATCATCATTATCATTATATAATTTTTAAATTGATGAAGAAATGAAGTAAGGGCATTTTAGAAACAGGTGCTGTTTGCAAAGCAAAGGTATCATGAAATAGTGCTGTGTGTGGAATTGCAAGTAGTTTGGTATGACCAGAGAGCAGGGCACGTATTACAAGAGTGAAGAGAGGGGTGCCTGGGTGGCTCAGTCGTTAAGCGTCTGCCTTCGGCTCAGGTCATGATCCCAGGGTCCAGGGATCGAGCGCTGCATCAGGCTCCCTTCTCCCTCTCCCACTCCCCCTGTTTGTGTTCCCTCTCTCACTGTGTCTCTCTCTGTCAAATAAATAAAATCTTTAAAAAAAAAAAAGAGTGAAAAGGGATGAAGCTAGTGAGATGGGCAATACACAGATGAAGAAATGCGTCATGCACCATGCTGTTGAACACCAAACTGTTGTAATGTCAAATATCATTAATAGCATTTATTAAGCACTTTTATGCTGATAGGAGTACAAGCCATACTATAGACCCTATTTCTGTCTTCTAAGAACTTAGTTCTAAGACAAATAATTTTTAAGACAAATAATTTTATCTTTTACTGTACATAAGCATTTCAATCATGGGCCAAGATAAACATGGGCCATTACTGAATTTTTACTATTTCTAACCCCAATTTATATCTTAGGCATAGATTCTAAACTTATGTTTAGATAATTCAAAAATTAAATCTTAAATAAAAATCTTAAAATCTTAAATTCTTAATCTAAAATCTTTAAAAAATCTTAAATAAAATTAAAAATATAATTTGAAATTATAATTTAGAATCTGAATATAATCTTTATTACCTAATATTTTTAAATATGTGACTTGAAAGTTTGGGGGATAAGGAAATGATGAAAAATGTTGTATACTAAAACATTAATTAACTGCAATTCAGATTTTTAGATTCTTCTAGGTCTGGACATGAAAGTACCCTTGGGTTGGAAAGCCTCCAAATTACTGAGGCCTGTGTCCCCCAAGGGCTAGAGAAAAAATAAGCCAAAGAATGGTCAGATTATAAATAAATCTTAAATAGATAAATCTGCCTCTATTCCCATTTGCTCTGGTGGCCTTTCAGCATTCATCAAAAGACTTACAAATGGCAGTTGCCGGGGGGGCAATCTTTTGCTCACTGCAGATGTGCAGATTTGTACTCCTGATTGACATACAACATCTAACAGCTTCTCTCTAGACTCAGCTTACCATAATGATGTTTCTGATATTTTTGATGCCATGGTTTACCAAAGCCTCACTGATGGTACCTATTAGAGTGGCAAAATACCATTTTTTGCTTTTCATTGCTGTCTGCAGGAAGCACACTGCCTCTTTCTTTTATTTAGTGTAGATATTTTGACACCACCTTTAGCGCTGCTGAACTGGCTGGTCTGGTCTAAGTTGTTGATACCATTGCTTCTGATGTCTTTTGACTTTGCTGTGAGAATCTTCATTCAAGATTAAGGCATGAATTATGGAATCTGACTTAAAATACAAGTTCGGTGATAGCATACTGTACCCAGAGTTGCCCATCTCTTTGACTCCTACCTACTTACTTTATTCCATACTGTACCTCTTCACACTTTTTGGGGGGACTGACTTTTCTCCCAGTAATAATATAATATCCTATTGGCCACACTGAAGAATCCTAGTCAGCCATCTTTCAACTACATTCAGGTATTAAAAACAAGCAAACAAAAAAACCCTCATTTGTCAGTAGACGAATTCTAGAACTTCCAGAAAAAGAAAGAAACAAAGGGAGGGTATGAAAATCCAAATACAGTACCCAGTGTTGAAAGTCGTGGACAAATAGCAGATTTTTATAGGAAAATAAATATAAAAGATTAGCCTTTCTTCTTGAAATCTGTAAGAGTAGAGAAAGAATCAGAGAGCATATGGGGGGAAGTGGAAGAAAATAGGAACAAAGGGAGCAGTTGATACCTGAAATCATTTGGGAGAGTAGCACTAATTAGAAGCAATGCCATATGTGGGGAACAGCATTCAGTAAGTCAGTCATCCAATCAGTAAATCATTCAGTCAATATAAACATCAACAGTCATGAAAGGATCATGCAAAAACTAGATGCAAAATCAAATCTTCAGGTTGGAATTGCACAGGTCAGCCTTGGGAAAGTGTACTGGTATTAAATATTGATTTCTTTTGTTTGAAAGATCAGGACAATGTATATCCTTGCCCACCTTCAATGTACATGTTTGAAAACCAGTAACCAAATGTTTATATATATTTTTAAGATTTTATTTATTTGAGAGTGAGAGAGAGATCATGAGCAGGGAGGGGTTACAGGGAGAAGTAGACTTCTCCCCTGAGCAGGGAACCCGATGTGGGACTCGATCCCAGGACGCTGAGATCATGATCTGAGCTGAAAGCAGACACTTAACCAACTGAGCCACCCAGGCGCCCCATCCACATGTTTATATTTTGAAAGGACATGCCTTTAAGGTGTGCTTGTATGGGGGGCATGTGGAGGGGAAGACAGTTAGTGCAGGGGAGAGGGGAGAAGAGGGAAAGAGGAAGAGAGCTGTGGGAAGAGACTATATAGCTCTAAGCCATTTTTTAGACAATCTCATCAGATGTAACTATGGAGAAGAGAAAGAACATAAATCTAAGTGTTACTTACACTGATAATAAGTTACTATTTGCTTTTAATTGTTTACATGGCCAAATGTAATTGTGTCCTCAAGTTGCAAGGATTTGAAAATTCTAGTATTTAAAATAAAACATCCTTGAATTTATTTTCCAGGAAAAATGCTCGATAATTTTTAGAGAAATAGAGAACACTAAAAGTAAAACAATTATTTTTCATGCAAAAATAAATCAGTTGAATGAGAACTTAAAAGAAAAAGAGAAAGAAAATATTACTTTTGCTCAGATACTTGGGAATTTAAAGTAAGTACTTAAATTTTATCAAAATAGTAAATGTTCAATATATTATTTATAAAAGAGATAAGACCAAATTTCTTTAAGGTTTATTCTTAAAATGGTCCATTATTTTCCATCATTATTTGATGTGGAGTACACATGTGATATTTGATAATTTTGGTTTAAAAACATAAATTGTGGGGGCATCTTTATCTCAGGTTTGTGAGTTTAAGCCTCACATTGGGCTCCACCTGGGCGTGGAGCCTACATAAAAAACAAACAAACAAACAAACATAAATTGCATGCATTTTTTATTATTCCCCTGGGTTTATTCTTATTTGAAAAACTGGGAATGTTTATTCTTTTCCAAGTATAAGAACTTTTATTAATTATGAAATTAATAATCTTTCCCACTCATTTCAGTATTTCTCACTCACGTGACATGGTTAATAATCTATGGTTTTTCACCCAAACTTTTTGGTAAATTTTGAGGTAATCCTTTAGAAATAGATATTCAAAACCTTGTGTAATTTGTTCATATTTATTGTCTTCAGAAACCTCTTATTCAGTCCCTTTATTAATCAGGGACATACCTAACAAGGGTGAGTAAGGTCTTTCACTTAGAGAATGATCATACTCTAAGACCTTTAGTGTTTCCATAGGACCCTCACTTAGAACTTACATTCTCTTCCTTTGTTCCTTTTGGTTCTTTTTTTTCTATTTTGTAATACCTTGAGAACAGAGCTTGAAGGACTACGGGAAGGATATACATTGGTCACATTTAGGAATTATAGTTTGATTTAAATAAGATCTATTAATTAACAATGGTGATGGATAATGTCAAATAATATTTAAAGTTACTATTGATTGACTTCCTAATGTGCCAGGCACTTTGTGGGCAATCTGTGTACTTTATCTTATCCAGTTCTCACAGCAAATTCTTCAGTTATGTAATATGAATACTGAGGAAACAGAAGCTCAGGGAAATTAAATGATTGTCTTTGTATAGCTAATCACGGGTTAGAGCCAGCCCGTTTAGGTCCATCTTCTTCCAGTGTGTGCTCTTACAACTGTGCATATTGACTCACTAAACTAGGATTGGAAAGGAAGATTATTTCAAATAAACTATATTAGTAATAATCTACTGGTATTTTTAATAGATGACTATATCAAGTTAATCATTATTTATTAAGAACCCACAGTGTGCCTAGTGCCAGACACCAAGAAGGACAAAGAAATGACAAATGGGAAAGTGTACCTTCAAGTATCTGAAGATAATTTTAGAAATACAAACTTGCATATGCAAATGATTAAAATATGGTGATTAGAATAATAGCAATTAAAGCTGTCCTTGACTCTAATTTTTACAACTGTTTCTTAATTAGGATGTGAAAGGATTTAGACCCAGACCCATAGGACTTCAGAGTTTATTCTTTTTATGACTATGAGAAAGGAAACACTATTTTCATGTGTAGATACACATAAAAGCATATATAGCCTATATAATGTATGAGTGTATATAGTTAACTAATAAAAATGTTGTGTTGAATATAATCCAATCTCAAAATACTTAGTGTAGAGAACAAAATATATGTGGTCAAGATATAGTGATGTTTGCTGGGAGCAACTGTGAGAGTTTTTTGGCTCTGGTCATACTAGCTCTTCCCCATGTGAATTTCCTGGTTTCTATGTTCCATAATATTGATATTAGTGAATATTTATATAGGATATCACATAAGAATTTTGGATGTTTTTGGTATGAATGATGAAGTGGAAAAAACATGGGCAAGACAGATAGATGAAAGGATCTTATCCTATTTAGAAGGAGAGGTTCACATCTAAAAACGTAAACAAAAAGCGTTGTTTTCAAATTTCTGATAATAGCCATAGTAGAGAAAGAGAGAAAAAAAATGAGTATTTAGTGTTGAGCTGCTGAATCAAACAGAGTAAGACAAAACTGGATTTGCATTCTGGTTCTGTTATTTACTAATTAGCTTACATGAGCTAATTATGGTGAAGTTTAGTTTCTTCATCTGTAAATTGCTATAATGACTATTCTTCCATAGGGTTGTTGTTGTATTAAATGAGATATTATATTCGAGCACTTTAACATTTCAGCCCCTCAAAAACTTTAGTCCTGCTGCCTTTTTAGCTAACTGTGCAAATGACTCAATTTTCTATACCAGTAGAGATAAAAACAAATATGGGTAACATAAGACAGTGCTGAGTTTTTGCAGCTCTGTGTATTCTGCACTCTGTGTTACTGATCAACTCTGGCAATTATTTCCAAAGCATATTTGTTTTCATTATTGTTTTAACCACTTTTTGATGCTTTTTCCATTAGTGTTGTTCCTTATTTAAATAGAAATCATTTAACCTCCGTGTCAGTATATACTTAGTTACAAATGACAAAATACACACACATGTACACAAACAAAGGTATTCACACAACAGCTTAAACTGAACAATAGGGAAATGTATCCTCTTATATAACAGGAACCCTTGGGTAGGGTAAGCTGCAGAGTTGGTTGATATTAGTGAATCAGCAGCTCAACACTAGGTACTCATTTTTTTCTCTCTCCACTATGTCCATTGTCATCAAGTTTGAAAACATGACTCATTCACATTTAGTGGATATTGAGTCTTTTCTACATGGAATTAGGTCCTTGTCTTTCATCTTATTAGGTTATATTAACATATATGTTCACTCCTAAATAATTAGCCATATGCTAATTGGCTTAATTTAATTAGAATATATCTTTGGTGTTATATGCTGCATGGAGGAGGGGCCCTTTTAGAATGACAACAAAATAGAAGCATGCTGGGTAGGCAACCAAGAGAATCCACTAAATTTCCCCAGAGATTTTCTTCCAACTGGACCATTTAGAAGTAGCTCTATGGAGGTAGTCCTATGGAAAGGATTAGGGAATTTTTCCAAAGCCATTCAGTTCTAAGACTTTTCAAGATTGGTTCTTTTAAAATGTATCACAAATGTATTTTAAAAAATAAAATATGAATTGATTAGTTGCAAATACTATTCTTTCTTCATAGAAACGAATTTATAACCATGAGATACAAAAGGGAGCATGCACAAGCTGTATTTGATCATCTCATAAGTGAAAAAAAAATCTATGAAGAGAGACTCTATGAGGAAGAACAGAGATATCGAACACTCATTACCATGAGGCAAAAAGTTCTGGCAAATATTAAAGTGAGTATTATTTTTATACTGTCTTAGAATGAAAGAAATATAGTGATAGTCAAACTAGCAGGTAGTCTGAGGCACTCACTTTTCATCTTGGAGTAGTAAAGGTTTAAATTCTAAAAACTTAAAAACTTTTAAAGATATATGTAATATGAGAGTGTACTTTTACAAGCTATTTTTGATCCTGATGTTTATATAGCCAATTTTTATATATATTCATATACTCAATTACTTTTCTTCCTTTTTACATTTTCAAAGACATTGTTTAATTCATTTAAGAAAATGGAGCAAATATATATTAAACAAACAAGTACGTCAGTGAATGAACATACCATCTATAGTGCTATTTCTGTGATCCTTCCTATAGAAAAGTATTAATAAAGGAAAAATAATTTTATTAATAATAGTGCTAAGTAATATTCTTCCATTTTAAATATGGCCATTACATAGAAAAAGGGTATTTTGGGAGGAAGGGGCCTAAAAATATGAAAATAATTGGTGCCATCTAGTGGCAATAAATGATGCCTCCTCTTGGAGAGGTTCCTGAAACATTGATGGCTAAATCTCAAGATTTGTGATATATGAATGGACTGTGGAGGCTTAGACTCAAATGCACCCCTCAAAAAGAGAAGGCCTAAGTTATTTACTGATTTAAGCATCATTCTCTGCCTCATATTTTATCACAGCAGTAGAATTAGCTGTTTGAATTCAACCACATTTTCCAATCGTACTGGTGCTGAGAACACAGTGGGATCTCAATAATCATTTATTGACTGGCATTTCAGCACTTTAATGGAACAATAATAATTAGTGAAATGGCAAAATATGGTCAGCAGGAGAGAGACAAAGAAAAAATCCTGTATAACTAGCCTCTCAGAAATGGAGATTTGTATTTTTTTCATCCAAAATCTTGTCTCTGCCATCCCATTCTGAAATGTACTTACCTCCAGCCACTTGTCACATCACATGGTTTTCTAATACCAGTCTCTATCTTGTTTTGTTCATTCGTTTTTACTTGTTTGTTGTCTGCCTGCATCTTGCAATACTAACGTATTGTCAGTGAGGACAGGAGATTTTCTGTCACATTCTTCTCTGTATCCTAAAAGCTCAGAACTGTGTCTGGCACAAGGGAGGCACTCAGTGAATAGTCATTGAATGACTGAATGAATAAATGGATGAACATATGCTTTTTTGGTAATTTTGCTGCCCACATGCATGATAATGCCTGAAAGCAGGAGCATTTCAGAGATACTTTCCATACTGCGCCAGGCTGATACTTTAGTTGAATACTTATATTGTATGCAAAAGCTGAATCTGTCCCTTTCTTCCTTTCTCATTCTCCCTCTCTCCTTGATAATAGATGAGAAATTTGCCATCCAGTCTGTTCTCTCTAGATGAAAATTATTACATTATCTATTGCTTTCTAGCAATTAAGGATTCTGCTAAATATCTGAATAGTACTTCTCAAGTAACCTTTAATTTATATGAAATTGTCTCTTATCAGCTCTTGGATAGCTCTTTGTTATGCATTTACCCTATGTGACCAGAAGCATAGAGTTTGAACATGCGTAGTTTAGAAAGTGATTTATCTCATCATTAGTGACACTATTTATGATTATGATCAGTTATTGGCATTAAGTAGTGGAAAGACAATGTGATTTTTCATATAAAACTATTCTCATCCCTGTTTAGAAATTGGATGAGATAAAAATTTGTAAATATGTATATAATATGAAGCATTCCAATAAAGAAACAAGTTTCATTAGGCATCATTATAGATGTGGTATTACTAATCTGGGGTGTCCCCTCTGGGCAAAGGAATTGATCACAATTATGGATCATCTGAAGGAATTGTTTAATAAAAGACTGTAAAAGCCACAGTACAATTAACTGGGGATGTAGGAAAATATGCCATAGAATTAGAAATACAAACAGCCAATAAAATGGTTTAAGAAAAAAATATATACAAACTTCACATAGCATGCAATGTAGTTCTAGAGTTAAAATCTACCTTTTTTGGTAGGTAGTTCCATATCAGATATCTTTAAATGGAAGATTTTTTAAATGTTAAATGGAGTCTTTATTAACTGCCTATAATTTGCAAATGCAATTAAGATTAAAATTTCAGTATAGCATATTCATCAAAGTACTATAGCTCTAGTTACTGATCTTCCTTTTTTGTTACTGGAAAGATCCAGACAAAACTGGAGTTTCAGGTATTTTAATCTATTATTAGCCATCCTCAGAAGTCCCACTGCTTTTCTATGTCAGTGCCTTTCTCTATTGCTCTTTCTATAACCTTGTTCTTCCTATAATTTAGGGTATGATATGAGAAGGGTATAATGGATTACATTGGATCTTTGGCAGACAGAACAATTTCCAAATTGAGTTCTGAAAGACACAATCTCCCAATATTTTGTAGAATTTATTAGTTTTTATTTGGCTTCATATTTATATTTCACTCTCAGGAAATATAATAGTCCCATATTTGGCTATTAAATCATTTCTTGACCATTTCATGTGGAAAATTCTTAGCTTAATAGAGAGGCAGTGATTCACTGCCTCATTAGACAGCCAGGTACAGCAATAGTAAAAATCAGAAACAAATTTAATCTCTGAACTAATTTTAAGGATTATTACAACTTAAAAAATAATTCTCCTATTGTCCACTCATCACTTCATTCACACGACTAGTTCAGGACACTCAGTGTTGGTTGACCAAAACCCTAGCCTCAATTTTAAAGATGCAATCAGCAGAAAGATGGAAGCTGTGAAAAACAAACTTGAATTTAGTAACAATGCACAAATTACATACAATAAATTTTGTCGCTGGCCCACTGACCTGATACATTAGGTATGATTAAAATAAAATAAAGCCATTACGTATTCTGTGATCTTTATTGTGGGAAATAAATGTGTGAAAAACCTGGAAAGTTTAGAACTGAGCAGTGAACCTCCTAGGCAAGAATAATTTGCCTTAATGTTAATTTTCTTGCCACCAAAAGATTTTAAAATAACATGAAATTTTTAAAAATTAGGAACATGGTTTGCATAATATTTTTAACAATTCTGATAGGATTAAGCATTAATCACATGTAATAATATTAATTCGGTTCATCATATTGCTTTTTTAAAGCAACTTATTCAAATCTATGGCTCTTTGAGGAATGAACATTTTAATCTGAGGACTGTTAGCAAAAGAGTGCTAGTTTTATACTGGGGAACCCTTCAAGTTTTTGCACAGACGCAGTGCTACAATGATCCTAGGTACTTAGAAATCAGGAGAGAGTAACACTAGAATGTGAAGGAAAGATGTAGCATGGGTATAAGTGATTCTCAAATATAAATTTAATGTATTTTGGATGTTAACTTTGAGCATGATCTGTTAAACAAGGAAGAAGCCTCTCTTCTTTTTGCATCTCTCTCCAGCATCATGTTATATCTTGCAGATATGTCCCAGAACTTCCACTAACACTACATTAAAGCACTATATATGAAGTTTTAATAGGCTTTTTATTTTTTGAACTGGCAACCAATCACCATTTTAGCTTTCTTCCCCCAAACTACCTAGAGGCATTTATTAAAATCACTTGGCCATAATCCATTTCAGTTTTTATGTACATGGGTATTTTTTTACATTATTGTGATAATACTCCATGAACACACTTTGGATGTTATGCTTTTCCCAGGTAACATTAATTTCCTGGTGGGACTGCCACTTTTGAAATTCCTCTCCCCTCCCCACTGCAGAGTAATAGCATAAATATATGATTATTCTCTTTTAGTCAATTAAAGTCATAGTATGAGTTTCCAGATATCAGATTGCATTCTTAAGTATACCTAATTGGTTATGCTTTATTAAAATTGTAATACATTACTGGATTCAATTTGCAACCATTTAATGCTGAATATCTATTGGTCTATAGTTCTTCTGTTTCATACTTTGTTCAAGGTATTGGTATCAGAGATTTACAAGAGTTTTTCAAATGAAATAAGAAGGTTCTTTTTTCTTTGTTAAATAGTATAATGCATTTCAGTTCCTTAAAGTTTTGAGAAATTCTCCCATGGTACTATCAAGATATGTGCGGAGTTTCTGAAGAAAAACATTTTAAAATTTATTCAGTTTATTCTTTGGTTTTTGCATGATTAATGTTCTCTAATTCTTGAGTCAATATGGTAAAGCTATATTTTTCTAGAAAAGATGATTTTAATGAGGTTTTCAAATTTATTATCATTAAGTTGTATGAAATATATATTTTTTAATTTCTTCTGCTTCTGTCGTTATATTCTTTTCTCATGTACCAGACTTTTTTTCTTTTCCTTGATTGACCCTGTTAAATTTTTGCCTTATAGGTGTTTTTCCACACACTACAAATTCTGATTTATTCACGATGATTATTTTTGTTCTCTAAGTCATTAGTTTTAGCTTTTTTCTTTGTTAACTATTCTTTTTGACTGATTTTTATAATTTTATTTTGTTTCTTTTTCCTTTTCTTTTTTTAGCAAGTTGAGTTGAATACTTCAGTTTTTTCTTTCTCACTTACAATGAAAAGCAAACTTGAAAAATGACCAAGTAGTCTCTGAATGCAATTTTGGCAGTTTTAATATGTTGCACTCTTTGATATTGGTCTTGGCAATGATTTTTTGCATATGAACACCAAAAGCACATGAAACAAATGCAAAAATAAACAATTAGAACTACGGCGAAATGAAAAGCTTCTTCACAGAGAAAGAAATAATGAATAAATTGAAAGGACAGCCTACTAAATGGCAGAAAGTATTTGCAAACTATATCTCTGATAAGGGGTTAATATTGAAAATAGATAAGTAACTCATACAACTCAATGGCAAAAAAAGAAAAAAAAACAGAAATAATCCAATTAAAAATGGGCAAAGGACCAGAATAGACATTTTTCCAAAGAAGTATACAGATGGCCAACAGATAAATGAAAAGGTACTCAACATCACAAATCATCATGAAAATGCAAATTAAAACCACAACGAGA